CTGGCCACAGCATTCTGAGCAGGTTGCTTATAGATGTTTTTTAGGTGAACCCGTAAAAAGGGAATTATATCATTCTGAACAGCTGGAGATAAAAGCATGAATGGCAATTTTGGCATCTTTCTGACTGACTTCCTTAATTCCTTACTGAACAGCGCTCAACATTCAGATTACATTTTGTGATTTGTATTTAAACCCAGTTGCCGAGACCAACAAGTTTTTCTGAATCTCAGTTTTAACCTCATCAATTTTAAGAGGATGTTTCTCATCCATTGTTAGCAGCGAGGCGAGCAATGAGAGCACTGGGATCATCTGGTGATACAGAAATGAACAAATGTGTAGAATTTCATGAGATATAAGCCATAATCATTAAAATTACAACGAATAAAGAAGTATTTCATCATGTGTGTAATGAACATAGAATATATGAAAGTTTACCGTTTTGATTTAAATTACTAGAAAAAGAAAACTTGGTGCACCTGTACGTCCACAAAGGAACACCTCTCCTGTTCTCTACAGACCGGGCGTCCCTGCAGGCAGCCAGCTGTGTGGAGAAAATGCAGGAACTGATCCTGGACCTGCTGTCCAGGGTGTGTGGGGCCTACGCTGGAGCCGCACGAGGGGGAGCGCAGAGGTTCGGCCGCCTGCTGGGCAGACTGACGGAGCTCCGAACCCTCCGGCACAACTACCTCCTCCTGACGAGACAGCAGCCTGGACACTGACAGAGAGGACTTGCAGGGAGCGATAAAAACCTTTCATCTCTGGTGGGGGATGGTTGTATGGTTTAACTTCAGTTCAAGGAGTTACTCGTACAAACGCTGATACCGACGGGACAGTTTTGGATCAACCTTCTTGATAAAACTGACACAAAAGCCTTTTTCTAAGTCCAGTTCTGCAGTCACAGAGTTTTTGCATCTAGTAGAACTGAAACGTGCTCGTTGGACTGCTGTACTTTGTTTGAGCAAAGATATTTTTATATTGTCTTTTTATACCCGTATACGTGCACACTCACAGTACTTCACACTTTGCTGAGTAACTTTGAAATAAAGCGAAAACTGAAGACTGTGCGTCAGCTGGAGTTCATTGAAAACCATCAACTCTCAGATGGATCCTGGATGTAAAGTTAATAACAGAATTAAAGCCGCAAGCGGCGATGGACGGGTCCTCGCCCTACGCTTGTCGGCCTTCGCG